GAATCAAAGTTCTTCTAGTCTCCTGAATATCTCTATGTCCATTGCCTCTTTATATTCCTGCATGCAGCCCCTTCAATCATTTATCTCATTTTTGTTGGCAAAAGTTTATTCACTTTCGCGATAACTCCACTTTCATTTCCATTCTGCATTCTTTTCTAAGTCCCCTGAGCGCATCTGGATGTTTCTTCCTTCGTGCCAGCCTGTCATCATGCATTTGTGCTCATTACAACAAGGGTTCCTTCACATTTGATTTGCCACTTTGTCTGACAGGTTTTCAGCCAATCTGCACATTCCTTGGAGGCAGGAACCATTTTCTATTTATTGTTATACACCAAGAGCATGGGGTACCACTCCCCAGCTCCCCCCCCAAAAGCTGACATTTGCACCTTCATTAATAGCTCTGTTGCCTACCTCTCCAGAGAGTTATTTTTCCTCCTTAAGCATTTAGCTAAAATGCATTTTCTCATTAAAAAAATTCCCCTGATTGGACTCACTTCACTGTAATTACTCATTCATTTTTATTATGTCCTCAGTGTGTGTGTTCAAATGGTTTAGATTCTATTCTTAATTCTAGCTCAACCACCTTATGTATTTAAGGATCACTGCTGAAATCATGATAGAAGAGCTTTTAAAAAATAATTTCCTTTAAAATATCCATTTTCTTTCCACTCAGAGAAATGGTTAGGCTCCTGTTAAACACACTCATGCCCATCCTAAACCAAGTACCCATGTGACAGGAACAGAGATGAAGACTATAAAGCCACCTAAACTTTCAAGACCGAAGAGAAAGATTTCCAAAAGCAATTGGAACTACAAACTGGTAAGAGACATAAAGCTTAAATTCCTCAATGCAAAGGAAGCAACCCTCACCGCACCCAAAGGCTTTCTTTCCATTTTCTTTGTCTCTTTCTTGTCTGGACACTGCAGTGCTGCGCAGCCCCATGAAAGGCTTGAGAGGAGCCAGATGATATCAGAGCCTCTGAGGTGGATTAGCCCTTGTGTTATGTAGTTTGGGAAAGGTGTAAAAGAGAGAGGCACACAAAATATTCAGGAAAGTGCTGTTTGTTTATTTGTTTGTTTAATGTGCTGGGGGGGGGCGTCTAACAGCTCAGAATGAAATAAACAAAGGGAGATGGAATGTGCTACCTTCCTTTGTACTTCCTTGGCTACAGGCTGCTCTTCTTTTCCTGCTACAGGCTGTGCTTTCCCTAACCAGACTGTAAGTTCCTGGGGATCATTAGCCATGTGTTTCTTTTGAATTCCCTAAACCTTTCAGCACACTGAGTACATAGTGCATGCTCAAGAAACACTGTTGACGCACTGAGTACTACGTAGTTAACTATTTTTCTTCCCTGGCAAATTTTCAGGAATGCCTATTATTCACAAAACTGTGGCGTCTTGGAAGTCAAAAGGAAGCAACCATCTGTTGGTATACATTTTCCCTTAGCTATGCGTTATACAGAGATTTCCTTTGGAAAAATAAACAAAGGATGCTTGATGAGCCAGGACAAAGAACTAAATATAGAGTTCAAGTGGCCAGAGTATCAAGGTCAAAGCATGCCCTTCCTTAACCAGATTAAAGGAGAGCTATGGGCCTGCATCTACCTCCCCCTTTCCCGTGTTCTCCAGCCCTAAATGAAAGTATTTCCAACCACCTATTTTTGGGGATTCTGAAAGCTGAGCCTCAAGCATAAGCTACATACAATTCAGTTAATAAATCTGTGGTGATGTTAATCTCTGTCTCTGTAATAATAGGAAGAGTCCAGCTTTGTTTACTTTCTGAGGAGAATAGGGAAGAGAGAGAAACTAGAATGGGAAGGCAGTATTTATGGACTCTTTATGAAAAGTCAATCTGTGACAAAAACACTCGCAAACAATAAGGAAGGGGAACAGGTTTGGCAGGGATAGAACCTATTCCTGTTCTTGCCAAATTGTTGTAGCTGGCATCCTCGACCACCGCCCATGTGAAGTGCTTGAATTACACTGTGAATATAGTAGTCATTCTCTACAGACAAATCTAGATGAGATAAAATGGCGGGGGGGGGGGGGAATCCAGACACCATTCAGTGTCTGGCTCTCATAATTAGCATTATCTTACTATTTATTTCACTGTATAAAGTACTTACAAGTATTTTTGAAATCTCAAGTCCCTTCTTTAACTGCATTATTAATCCTGGGGCTTGTCCTGAAGCCTTTTGGACATACAGGCTCTGTGTTGAATGAGTATAATAGGTAGTCTGGATGCACCCTATTATTAAAGGGGAAGGTAAGGGCATCTCTCTAAGCTTTCAGAAGGGATGATGTCATAAAGAAAAGCCATGGACTTCCATAAACCATCCTGGAGGGGCCCTGTCCAGGACAGGCTCTTTAAAAATTATGAATTCTTGGAGAATTTTATACAATGTGTTTTAATCACACTCACCTACGAACCTTTCCCCTAACTCCTACTGGAGTCACTGTCCCTTCCTTAGCACTCCTCCCGACTTCATTCAGGACAGAATCCTGAACTGAACAGACTAGACATCATTAGCTCCTAAACTATAGACTCGGGTTGAACACTATTGTATTGTCTCCCTGTTCTTTGTCGGATCCCAGCTAGTGTTTTCATTCCATCATCTATAGTCCCTGTACAGGTGTAACCACATCAGAGTGGATTTGGACAGTGTGTAAGCCACTGTGTGTATAGATAGTATGCCTAAGCTATTTTCCTGTACCTAGCATGATGCCATACATAAAAAGGTAGTAGCAAAAGCTGATCTTTTGTGTAGCCAGAACAGGCAGTGGTTCACATAATGGGATTTAACAAGCATCCCTAAGGGTGCTATTTAAATTGCTGCTTTGCTGGATCACCATGGGATTCTCTCTTACTTTACTTACACATGGTAGTGCTAGCACGATTTACTTAAGATACGGGTTAACTTCTGAATGTTAACTTCAGAAAGCTACTTTCTAACTCTCACTTCTTGGGCTATGATGTTGCTCCATGGTATAATACTTGCCTAGCATTTGCCCCAGCAACCAAAGAAAGAAAAATCACCTGTTATCCAAAGGCCAGAGTGCATCCTCCCCTACTAACACAATGATGAATTATTTTATGAGGCCTGCTGATACCACTTCAAAAGAGCAGAGCAAATAATAAAAAGAACTGGTTTCCAGAATGGCCTGTGAAAGGTTGGAAGAATGCAATGCTTAGGTGACGCTGGCCAGAATGATACATTTCCCAGGTATAAGGAAAAGAGATTTTAGAGAGATTCTAACATGAAAGAGAAATGGGATAAACTGCAACTTTGCTTTTTTTCCCTATTATTTTCTCTATACTTAGTAGTCATTTGATTAGAATGAATACAAGGATAGTTTTATTTTTAACCATATTTTATTCACTCTTATCTATTACTCCCCTGTTAATCATGCAAATTCTACTGAGGGATACCGTATCCAATTTTCTGCTTACAATATTCTCTTATCCCCTCAACACTATAGATTTCTTACACTATAATCTGACAGCATAATCAGAAGCTTTGATAAAATGAAACACAGAGGGATTTTGATTGGTTGAAAACTACTCAGAAATAATAACTTTCTACTCTGTTTCCTCCTTCTTGGAAAGAACGAAATAGTAGAGGAAAAGAACAAAATAAAGAAAGTAACCATTGACAGAGCCATGACTTGCGAAATCTGGCAGCCAAAAAGCACGGTGTCACTTTGTCGTCACATTTTACAAGTTAGAACACTGAAACAGAGATCCTAACTGACTCACCCTCATGTTAGCAATTAGTTCATAGAATAGGAAAGTCTGGAATCCAGTTTTCCAACACTCCAATGTGCCTTTTCATTCTTTATGCTTCTCCCTATACCCACAGCATCCCATTACAGTTTCACATGTGAGTTTAACCAGTACCCATGGACTCTATATAGATCAGTGCCCAGCAGGGATTATATTACTAGTATATGTTCATCATTTAAGTATGTTCACTGTAGTAAAAGAAACCAAAAACTTTAAGAAGACCAATCAGTTGGGAATGTGGAATTACTTATGCGTAAGGATTCATTGCCTTAGGAGATATTCTTCAGTCTTAAACAGGAACCCCAAACCAGGATCATGATTAAATTATTTCATCATTTAAAACAAAACAAACTTGATCTCTTACACTTATCTGTCATACAAGTAAGATTAAGAGTGGATAAGACTCTATATAGAATCAGAAAAAAATTTACCCAATCACTGCCCATGAGAAATCCTATATTTTATTGACCTGCATTTAGACTTTAAGTATTATTATCAGTTATTCCATAAACACACACAAAATGATATATATGGAATTTCATACATGCTTTTAAGAGAAAGAGGAAAGAATAACACCTTTCTTTTATTCTGCCCTGCCAAGGAGCACTGAACTTCCCTTCTAAGCTCTTTTAACATTCAATGTTGGCAATATTTTTACATTTGTACAGCAGTTCATAATTCACAGACAATTTAATCATAGATATTATTTGTTGATTACAAAAAGACTAGGTAGAGGGAATCAAAACTAAGTGAGAAGATGATGAGTGAGGGCATAGCTAAGACCAGGGCTGTGGGATAAAGGGAGAATGAGCTAGGAAGGGAGGAAGCAATGATAATCAGAAAGAATGCTATACTGAATAAGTATCACCCTACCCTGAGGATTCATGATTCCCAAATTGTCCAGCAATGACTTTACAAGTGATGACATCCATTTTGATGAAGGATCATTTCCTATATGATTCCCATACCACCGACTGTTTGAAAAGAAGGGAGTTCCTCTTCATCTGTTGTTACCCACAACCCATTTAACTAATTTTAAAAATCATCCATATCTGTGACCTTTATTAGAACAAAATTCCTAAAGGCATGAGATCATCTACACTACCATTCAGTCCTTCACCCCATGGCTGTGCTACAGTCTGGCAAAATCAAAGTCCCTCCAAAGACCATCTAATTTAGATCCAATAAAAGAATTGCAAATATTACTGTTACATACCTCGACCTGCTGGCAGATCTGTATTAGTTTGGCCATTTGATTTTCTAGTTCGCTGTTGCGTTTAACCAGGTTGGTGAGGTTCATCTCCAGAGTTTGCTGCCATCACAGAGGGTATGAGGTCAGTGGGAAACAGGAGAAAGGGGGAAAAAAGAAAAATGAACTTGAGAATCAATGTAATATGGAAATCAATCAGTCAAAAGACAGAGCTTTCTCCCTCTTTTGTGTGTGGGGGGGGGTGTCACAAAGGTGAGACAGAGCCTCACTCTATACCCCATATTGGCTTCACACTTAAAGCAATCCCCTGCCTCAGCCCACGAAGTCCCAGGATTATAGATATATGCTCCTCCATGGATACAGAACCAGGGGCCTCACACATGCTAAGCAAGTGCTGTACTACTGAGTCATACCACCAGCTCAGTAGATTCATATTTCACAGATTTACCATGTCTGCTACAGACCAAGAATTGTAAATCTGCCCCATTGAGGAAGAGGTAGCATCCATTACTTTGCAGGCTAATGTAGGAATTTACTGACATTAAGGCAATCTAAACTTTTTGTAATTTTATATTATCTTTAACTTTTCAATCATTTCCTAGTCCTCTCCTTTTGCTCTCAAATCAAGTCCAGCAACACAAGAGAAATAAGGTGGTAATTTTTTTATGCTTTTTATGCTTAAGTAGACTAAGAAAACTACAATTTGTATGTGTGTATGTGCATGGGACATGAGTGCTTGTGTGGGTGCACATGTATGCAAGTGCATATACATGTGTGTGTACACACTTGTGGAAACCATGGGCCAACTTTGAATTTTGTTCATCAGGAGCCATCCACCTTGCATTTTAAAAAAGGACACTCATTTATTTACCTGGTGCTTACCAATTGGGCTAGGCTGGCTAGCCAGTGAGCCCCAGAAATCTGCTTGTCTCTGCCTCTCCAGCACTGGGGTTACAAGTTCACACCACCACACTCAGCTTTTCTATATGGGTTCTGATGATCAAAGCATAGCAAGCAGCTTACCAACTGAATTGTTTCCCCAGCCCCATAATTTATTGAATGAATGCTTCTTGCCAGACAATTTCATATGTATCAGAACTATAACAATTTCACAAAGAAGGATATGCTAGCATCTTCATGAGGAGGAAGTGAGTGACAGAGTGAGGGTAAAGTGCTTTGTAGCTATAAAACAAATATGTAGCAAAGCTAGGACTGAAACCTGGATTCCTAATTAATCCACAGTTTTGGATCAATATTCTATAATGCTTTGCATTTTTATTTATAACATTATATACTTATTAGTAGGCCTCTTCATGAAAAAAAAATATATTGTACCTTGAATGTGATATTCACCTAAATCAAACTTTATATTGCAGTTTTCCTTCCACAAAACACAAAGAGTTTCAAACACAAAGCCTGATTCTATCTGGAAAATGTCTACTATTTACCATCACTTACTGGTACACAGCTCCTTTTAGGTTCACATAAGAATCACTTTGCAGATATTTTGAACATAACATAGTTGTACCAGTACTTAGAACTCTAACGTATTTCCAGTTGAACAAGCTACTCTCTCCCATTCCTTCAGTGAAAAATAAATAAATAAAATATTATGTCTCTCTATATTGATCATAGACATTCATTCTTCCCTATCTCCAGATATTAGTTTTGATAGCTGCTTCTCCTCCAGAACTGGTGTCAGTATATACTGCTCTCTTATCCACCTTCTCAATACTACCAAATCTGTCCCAAACATAATACCCCAGTACCTTGATCCTTATTCTGGTAGTATTCTTTCCCTGGGTCATGCTCATTGTTTCATTGCTGTCTCCATGGCTGCTATGGTTTATAGCTGTTCAATGTTCATGCTATTGAAAGAGAGGATGGGAAGGACACTGAGGAGTAAAGGGATGTAGACAAAGAGAGGGATCTCATGTTCTTGAATCTTTTACTGTCTAGGAAGTAACTGTGGCTCCTTAACAGCCTTGGCATTGTTTTATGAATGTGTCAAAAAGAATATATTCATATAAATGTATGTATAGCAACGCTGGTTAATCTGATTTCACTTTTTCTTAAATGGAATTTTGAAGACCAGCTTAACTCTTGTTTCCCTTCATGTCTTTGTGTTGTTGTTGTTGTTGTGTAGCTTTGCAGCCTTTCCTGGAACTCATTCTGTAGACCAGGCTGGCCTTGAACTCAGAGAGATCCACCTGCCTCTGCCTCCTGAATGAGGGATTAAAGGCATGCACCACCAGTGCCTGGCTCCCTTCATGTCTTACTGTGATGGTTGAAATGTGAAATATTTTCCATACACTCGAGTATTTGAACACTTTGGCACTGTTTATTGAGGTTATAGGAGGTGCAGCCTTGCTGGAAGAAGTGTATTATTGGGGGTGGGCTTTGAAAATCCATAGCCTTGCCCCATTTTCAGTTCACTCTCTTTGCTTCTTGCTAACAGATGAAGGAGTGATATCTCAGCTTCCTAGTCCCATCCTCATGCCTGCTCTTGATGTCATGGTTCCTCATGGTGATGGACTCTTGTCCCTGTGGAACCTTAAACCAAAAGAAACTCTTCCTTGTATTCATTGGTTTGGGTCTCGGTATTTTATCACAGCAACAGAAAAGTCACTAGTACACAGATCTTTCTTGGTTTCCCTAGCTTCAGTTCCATGGAAGTAACCCATGTCACCTCTGCTTTATTTCATTTATTTCTGGAGGTGTTTCTCTCAGCTTTCTTTAATTCTGCTATCATTTAAATCTTTGTTCTCAGTAGAAAGGAGTGGGGGAAAAGGACAAGGGAACGGCAGCAATCACTGAATTAGGCATAATCACTAAACTAAATAGATGTCAAAGGGAAAAAGAAGAAATGACAGTTCAGAGATTTGCCATAACAAAAACATGTGAGTAGCTCGTGTGCTCAGGGTGCAGTAACGGATCTTGAAGGATAAGCAGGAATTTAACAGATTTAACAGACAGGGATAGTGGAAGGCAGAGTGTTCCAGGCACGAGGAATAAGATGATCAAAAATAAAGATAAAGCAGCCAAGAGTGGTGGCACACACCCGTAGTCCCAGCTACTGGGACAGCTGAGGCAGGAAGACGACTTGAGCCTAGGAGTTTGAACTGTTGTTTAGTTACTTTGTACTGAACAATGTAGTAAGCTCCTTTTTTCAAGAAAAAAACAAATATTGTTCCTATTCAGGGACCAATCAAGAGTTTAGTTTGACTAGAACACAGGGTATAAGGATGAAAATGGAGATCAAAGCCCTGTTTGGCTGGGTGTGGTTGTACACACCGTTAATCCAAGCACTTGGGAAACAAAGACATGCAAATCTCTGTGTGTTCCAGGCTAGTCAGGACTATAGAACAAGTTTCAGGGCAACCAATGCTTCATAATGAGAGCCCATCTGGGGGGAAAAAGCCCTGTTTTGAGAGTCTTGAATGTACAAATGGTTTTGTACCTATTTGTTTTCTTATTGGGGTTTATGAAGGGCTGTTGAATAAGGAAATGACATAATCACAGCTACATTTAGGGTATTAACCTAGCAGCAATAAGGGGAAGAGAGCAAAACAGGAAAGCCTGGGAGGCAGGGACACTGGTTGTGAAGATACTGTAACATTCAAGGCAGTTGCAAATGCAGGTCTGGGCCAAACTCAGAGGATAATCAGGAGAAACATGGTAATCTTTCAGGAAAAGATTCATCACTGTCAAATATGCAAAGACCAAGAGAAATGTGAAAATTTAGTTTTTTAAAGGTGAGGGGTGGGCTAGATTGGATAATCATAGGTCACAAGTAACCTTTGTAAAAGGAGTTTCAGTAGGGTTTTGGAAGTAGCCACTAAAGCATACAGGGTTAGAGTGCATCAGAAGGTGGCAAGCCTAGACTCCTCTCCAAAAGTTTGACCGTAAAGTGAACAGAATAGATCTCAGTTTGATCAAAGGGTCTAGTGTAAATTAGAGAGGGGAAAAATTACTAATGGAGCCAATCAGTCAAAAATTTCCTCCCGAAGAGTAGTCCACATTCCCAGATCAATGGAAATCCCGAGTATCAAAAATCATTATATCGACCTATTTGATAAATGGTCCATTGACTGATAGACCTAGAGAAGAAAAACGATTTAAATTCTGTGTTTCCCACTGCAATGTGTTTCCATGTGATTCCACTGGGAGAATTTTTTTTTTAACAAGTACATGAGACCTGTTGTAACATTGGCCTTGAAATTGATATATCATAAATAATTCATACTGCAGAGCAGGATTAAGATCCCCTGCTGTGCGCTCCTCATTTATGGCCCTGAACTGAGAGTTGTGGCTTGTATAAAGCTACGGAAAACAAAAATTAGGACTGAACACATAATTTAGGGTCTGGTTAGACTACAGGCCTTGGGTTACCATTACGAAATGATGGCAAATAGTTAGTTTGCTCGGGCCCCCTAGCAATTTGCAGAATGCCAGTCCATTTTAACAACACAGTTCTAGAACTGACAAGATGACTCTAATTTCAACCTTGCTTCATTAATATGAAAAATGCTTTGAAAAATAAATCTTTGGCTAATGAAAACACCATCTGTTGATGGCTTTTTGCCACTGTTTTCTTACATTATGAGACGTAATTTGGGGGAAAACATTGAACATTTACTTACTTCCTATTCATTTGTAAGGAATTAAAGCCTCCTTTCAAATTGGAATTGATTCTCAATAATGAACATATTCAAAAGAAAGCAGTGAACTGAAGCAATTATGCGGTCTATATCCTCACCCTTTCCAAAATGCCCAGCACTCACAAATCATTTAGAACTAAAATTTCTGGGCCACTCTAGGTTTGAATGACTTGGATTGATTTGGCCATGTAATGATCTTGTCTATACCATGTCTGAGTAAACAAAGTTGATTTGTGTGTGTGTTTGTGTGTGCATAGACACAAAATCTTTTTATGTCAAAATAAACATGTCTCTTTGTTATTGTGATTCAGTTTTGAAGAATCACTTTGTTTTGCTCCTTTCTATGTATTCCATTTAATGACTGGGCTAGGTTCCCTCTGTCCAAGCCCAGTTAGTACAACTTTCTCAAAACAGTTGAACCATGACATCAAGAGAGCCAAA